GTGCCTGAATGCGGCTCTTAGGGTAACCCCAGAATCCTCACGGTGCCAATGAGACCTGGCTACCACCCTCATCTCGACCACCATGGCCTTCACTGCAGCCCTACTCTGCCTGTCTGCGGGCTGCTGGCATGCCAGTGCCCAGTGGCCAGGAATGAAGTCCTCTCTATTTAGAGGCTGGCCCTGCTTTCCTGAGACTCAGAAGGTGGCAGAGGGTCAGCAGCCAGGCCCCGTGCAGCCAGGAGGGGAGGAAGAGTATGCTGGGGATTCTGGGGAAGGAGATGACATGGTAGTCACCGTGGCTCTGGCCTGCCTGAGAGGAACGCGAAAGGGGAGGGGCCTGGCCTCGGGCTGACCATTCCCTGCTGGCCCTGCTACGTCCGTCCGGGGAGGGAAGAAACAGTGTATGAGGGCTTCCCACTGTGTTTGCTAACATCCCCACACAGGTGAGTGTCTTGGACCTTCAGCAAGACACGAGCTGAGACCACTGGTCCCCAGCACACTGCAGTGCACACGCCCTTCCTGGCCAGAGGCTCCCAGGGGCGCCATGCTCTCCAGTCCCCTGCCCTGCCTGCATGCACAGCCTGGGCCCTGGTGCACTCGCTCTCTCTGCTCGCCCAGGTCCACTGCAGCTGAGCGTGTAGGAGAAGCCTCTTCAGCTTCACACACTCTTCGCCTCTAGCACTGGGCAAGGTCTGGCATTCACAGTTCCGAGAAGTCCCACAGACAGCAGTGGCTAAGCCTGCCACTTCCCTTGAGGAATGGGGGAGCAGGAAACATCAGAGCAGCCACCTCTGAAGCACCAGGAGCAAACATGACGTTGGGAAAGACTGAATATGCCACCCACCTAACGCTGAAGGATGGCCATGTGCCCATCAGAGTGCACACCCAGGCACCAGAGAAAAGGGGGTTATTCACAGGCCAAAGCAAAGTAAGAAAATCATAATTGTTCCCCTTCTTCCAAAGAAACATCCACATGCAGAGGGCAGGCAGCTTCAGCCCACGGCGCTCCTGACGAGGGCTCCCTCGTGGCTGCCCCAGGACAAGCAAGACCCCGGCGGTCCTAGGCAGGGAGAAGTGAGACTCAGAGTCACAGATGAAGGCGCAGGAGGAACAGCAGGGCAGGAAGCTCCCCAGAACCCCAGGGAGGCCAGGCAATGATGCACAGCAACCGCAAAAACATTCGCTATTTATTTTTATCTATTTTATTTTTTAAGGACAGGGTCTCGTTCTGCTGCCCAGGTTGGAGTACAGTGGCACAATCACGGCTCACTGTAGCCTCGACCTCTTGCTCTCAAATCCTGCTGCCAAAGTGCTGTGAGGGTGTGAGCCACACGGTGCCTGGCTACTTGTAGATTTTTTAAGTTTTAGGAACAATTACACATATAAAAAATAGACAAAATAGTATAATTTGAAGCAAATCCCAGATACCATATAATTTAATATGAATGCTTTCAGTGATAAGGCTTTTTAAACTGAGACCACCATTGAATCGGTAGAAGACAGACTTCAAAAGCAGATATGAGAGAGCCTGGGCAGATATGGCAGCAGAGCAGGGCAGGCCAGAGGGGATCAAAGTCCCAGGGCAGGCCGGTCTATGAGGGCTGGGTGGGCAGGGCTGTCTCAGGGCCAGGATATGGCAGGTGCCTTCCCAGTCCTTGCTGCACCCTCAGCCCTAACAGAGGCTGGTCCTGGGACGGGCTCTTGCCCAGCACTCTGGAAGGCGCAGAGGTGATTCTGTCACACACTTGTATCTACTTGGTCAGCCACAGACTCCACGTGGCTGTGCCGGGACCACAGAAATGTATAACCTCAGGGACTGCTTTAAACTGGGCTCTGATTCACAATAAGACAGAACCATGCTGATCTTGGCAGGCTGCCCCTGGCCCTGACTAGGCACTGCAGAGGCCATACCTCCACAGGACTGGACCACAGGCAGGGCTGACTCCACCCTGCGCCTCGGAGGTGGGAGCCACCCCCAAGGAAATATGGTCTCTGAGGGAGGTGTGCCGGCCTCTCCCACTCAGGCACAGCCAAGGTATCTGGCACGGTGGTGACACTGCAACCCTCCCACCATGGCAAAGGGCACTGGACATGCCTGCTCAGCAGAGTGCTGCAGGGACACTGCAGGAGGAGGACCTGGTAAGGATGCCCGGGAGCACCCACACCCCTCCAGAGGGGCCTGACTCCTGGGGACCAGAGAGGAGTCTCCTATCCATGACTTGTCAATTAACTCTGACCAGTGTTTCTCTTCTCACCCCTGCTGTGGCCACCAGACAGGCACAGCTGAGGTGTGCACTTCACCCTCTATCCTACTTGCTTCTGGGCAAGAACTGCTCCTCTGGAGGAAGGAGAGGGGCACAGAGTGTGTGAGAGCCACAGTGCCCAGCAGCCCGCCTCCTGGCCCAGGGTGGGGCTGAACACACTGGAGGGGACTGGCTACCTTAAGAGGGTCCTGGTTAAAATGCAAGCTTCTAGGATAAGCAACGCCCCACATTCATACATCGGAACAATCTTCCTAGGAAATCAAGCTTTGCAACGTTGAACAAAGCATATACACAGAAAGTGATTTAAATTGGCCCTGCAAGGATCATAAACACAGGAGGACAAATACTATGTTTCCTGTGTCTTTCTGGCTGGGCGTGATGGCCCAAGCCTGTAATTCCAGCTACTCAGGAGTCTGAGGCAGGAGAATTGCTTGAACCTGGGAGGCAGAGGTTGGGGTGAGCCGAGAAAGCGCCACTGTACTCCAGCCTGGGTGACAGAGTGAGACTCTGTCTCCAAAAAAAAAAAAAAAAAAAAAAAAAAAAAAAAAAAAAGGTTCTTTACTGGTTTGCTACCTCACAGGGATTCTCCCCACCTGTCCTCACCCGGGCCTGACCCTCACAGAGAAAGGATGTAGTGTTCAACACACGATTCCAGGAGCGCTATTGGCTGTGGCAGAAAATATCCCCAAGACCTACAGAGAGCGAGAGCGGCCTCAGTGATCGGTGGGGCTGGCACCATGCAGGCGCCACCCATCAACAGACCCTGGAGGCTTCTGATGGCACAACAGGGCCTTGGGCAACAGCTTCTCTCCACCAGGACAAAATAGCCACCACAAAGACACCTGACCAGCCAGAGGGGGTGGGTACCAGGTAGGCCTGGGAACACCACCTTACCCAGTTCGGATCCCTCTCCCAGGAAGCAGAAGTGCAGATGCTTGTCTCATTAACCCTTTCAGAGACGTCACAGAGACACCTCAGAGGCCTGAAGCCAATTCCCACATGGCCACTCTGCAAAGAGCTAACAGCTACGTATGAACATGACGGCCTTCTACACCGAAACCAGCACAGGGACCAAAGAGAGTAAACACGGTTTTCAGGCCTGGAGTGACTTTCTCTAGGCCTAAAGCCCGAGAGTACACAGCAGCCGAGAGCTCTGGGGAGCTGCCCAGGCCCTCCCTTCTGGGGGCTAAGGTCCTCACACAACCCGTGCGCACATTCTGTCCACTTGCTTCCCGACGCCTCCCACTGCACTTCCTCGGAACAGTCCACTGCTGGGAAGAGGCGCCGTCCCCTGGCCTATGCTGCTGTCCCTACAGCCTTCCTGTCCCCAAGTGTGCTGGCCATGTACCTGGCACTGCACCACCCCCTCGCTTCCTGTCTGGGAAAACCAGCCCTCTCTGCTGGCTTTTGACTTGGCGGAGTCTCTACCTGGCTACTGTGAGCACATCCCGGGAGCACCCCAAGTAGGGCCGGGCTGGGGAAGAACCGGCCTGCAGCAGCCACACAATCATAAAGGCTGAAGCCTCCTGGGCTGAGCCGACAAAAGCTGGGGCACAGATCCTCACTTCTTCAACTATCTCAGTATCATGAGCTCCTCTCACTTTGACCACTTCCCCATCTGATATCAACCCCACATCCTGGCACAGCCTCTGCACTTTGTGGTACGGCTGCATCTGGAGGCTTAGGGAGCCAGGGACAGAACCCAGGGCCTGACTCAGAGCTCTCCCAGTTCACTCCAGGGTCTGTGGTCAGCCTCGTGCTCTACTGCATCCAACCTCCCCAGCAGGGCTGTAGAGAAAATGGATGACCAGAAGGACAAGGAGGCCTCTGGGCACAAGAATCACCGAAGAGCAAGCATGGCCAGCACAGAGGCCTGGGCTCCCCATTCAGCAGCAAGACAGAATCTGCTGGAAAGCAGAAAATGCAGGAGGCACTGACCCCACCAGGAGCAAGTCCAATGAACATATATGGGCTCACACATGGGTACACACGAGCACAGGCACACACGGGCATACATCCACATGGGCACACAGGCTCACACATGGGCAGACACACACCCCAGCACATATACACATGGGCACACACAAGCATGCACACATACAGCGCACATGGGCAGACACACATACACGTAGAAACACACGGGCACATACACACAGATGCACACACATAAATATGGGCACACACATACATATGGCCACATACAGGCACACACATGGGCAGACGCACACCCCAGCACATATACACATGAGCACACACACACACACACACACACACACACACACAGAGGCACACACATTCCTGCTCTGCAGCCTCAGACCCCATCTGCACTTAGGAAGACCTCCCTGGCTCCTGCTCACTTCTAAGGCTCCTTTTAGTTTTTACTACAAATGATGGAGTTTCTTCCTGTGCCTTTGTGGCCCTAAGGGGAACCATGAACTCCTGTGCCCAGCTGTCAGAAGACCCACAGGTAAGCAGCCAGACCTCGCCCAGGGCTGGACGTACACTAGGCATCTCCATGCGTGTGGGACCCAAGGGTGCAGCTCTCCAATCAGCCCCATGGGGCTGAGCCTCGAGTGAAGAGGAGGTGGCGCATGGGGGTCTGTGCTCCTCCCGTTGCCCCTGGCCTGGACAGCTTGCAGAGTGCTCGAGTTGGTCCTAGCGCAAAGCTGGGAGGGGCGGGTGGGGGCTGGGGATGCCCATGGAGGGCCCACTGCAGGAGGGGCTGCGGGCTGGTACCTGTGTCCGAGTCCTTCTGCTCCCCATTGGCACCCGCGGTAAAGGGCAGCTTCCGCTTGCTGGCTCGCTCCCTCACTTCCTTCCCGCCATCACCACGCTCCAGCTTTGGGGTCTTGGTTAGAGAAACTTTATCTTTATCCTAGAAAAGAAAGGGATGCTTTCAGTGATTATTCCTAAATTAAATGCTCAAGCTCACTGTCCACTAAGATTCTGTTTCATGTGCCAGGAGAAGCAGATCTCTTATGTGGGCAGTGAACACCCTTCTTGCACCCCGGGGCGTGGCCAGGTGAGGCTGGTCACCGACAGCAGCACCTTCACCCAGAAGCCTGGGGCCTGGCTGTGGCTCAGCCCTGACTCTCGCCCACGGTTCGTCCCGTGCACCTGAGGGACTCTTGGAAAATCCCTGGTGTATGTGTGGAGAAAGCAGAGGTGGCAGACACGCGCTACCTCCCACTCCACTCCTGCCTTCCTGGGGAAGTACTAAACAATGAGGAAAAACCAGGGCTTTGCCTTCTCCAAAGAGAGGCGGTGCCACTCATAGCTACCTTCCCATCAGGAGTCTCGCTGTGGAGTGAAGGCTGGTAGGGCCTCCAGGAGATGCATGTCCTCCCCAGGGGAGCGGCCGGGCTAGGCTCCCTCCACCCTCAGTTCTGGGAGCTGGTACTCCTTCCTCTGCCCATCTCACACGGGCTGTGCTGTAGTTATGCCTTTTCCATTCTTGAACATGGACTTGTCTGCTATTCTAGAGGCCACTGTGCAGCCCCCGGCCCCCATCTCTCACCTCCCCAAGAGGCAGGAGGAACCCTGTGGGGTAGCAGAGCCCCCTGCAGGTCTGAGTGCAAGGCCCACCCAGCAGGCAAGACTCAGGGCAGGACCAAGAAGCCCCAACTCCAGCCCCAGCCCCAACGCTGGTCTTGAGCAAGTGTGTCTCATGGGCATAATCCACTGGCCAGAGGACATGCCCTGGGGATGGGGATTGGGAGCCGGTGTGACATACACAGTGCTTAGGACATGAGGTTTCTGTAATTTCTGCAGTCTCCTGAACAGTACTGTGTGGGGGAGGTCACAAGACGTATATGGAATGGCACAACTGGAAGCCATGGAAGGAGAGGGAGAGGGTGGGGAGCCCAATCTCAAACCCAGGTGGGAGAGCACGCAACAGTGGAGGCCCCGAGACAGACTCAGCCACTGCCAGCGCTGTCATAGCAACCTCCTCTCACAGAGCAAACAGGAGCACCGGGGTGGGAGTAGGGGAGGGGGGGGAGGCCCCGAGACAGACTCAGGCACCACCAACACTGTCATGGCACCCCCTCTCAGAGTAGACAGGAGCACCACTGGCGGGGCGAGGGGGTGGGCGGGCAGGCTGACCTGGCTCAGGTTGCTCACTGGAGTCTTACAAATTCTCGTCAGCACCAGGACCGGACAGGCACAGCAACTCCATGCCCGGCCTCTCCAGTACACATCAGAGGTAGAGGCTCCAGAAATGGCGACTTCCTTTACATGGGGCACCAGCAGAGCCACAGGCAAGATGCCAGGGCAGCGCCCACCCACACCAACCAAGCATGTCACACAGAGGTCCTGGGTGCTACATCTCGCTGCCGTCAGGGACACCACTGTCCCCAGAAGCACACTGCCCCCTTCCCCACCAGTAAGCCTTCCTTCTGGAACTTTCCCTGAGTAAGCTGCCGGCAAATATGGTGCAGTGGTCATCGGCACCCTCAGAGCACAGGAGGCCTCAGCTGCTCCGGGGCTGAGGCACTCAACTGTTCCGAGAAGCCCAAGCACCCCCAGCCACAGCCCTGCCCCCTGGGGCCCAGATGCATCTTCTAGCTCAGTTGGTCAACAGTGCGCCCACCAAACCTGGCAGTTAATCAGCAACATCCCTGAGTGACCATGGGAGAGCTTTCCAGAACATGCTGCAAGCTTGTTTCACGAAGGCATCGGGAGTGAAAGAGAAGCTGCCAAGCAAGACCTGACTCATGGCCGTGTGCCCACCTCTCCAGTGAGCATGCAGACAGGAGGAGGGCGCCAGGTGGACCTCAGGGGGAGACGGGGCCTCAGGAGTGTGACACCCATCCCAGCAGGGCAGGTCCCTCCTGGCCCTCGGCCTGGGTGCCCGGATGCAGCTCGCCCGCCGCCTGGTTGCATCTCCAGAGCTTTTCGACGCCCCCGCCTTCCCTGCTGCAGAGTGCAGTCCCCAGTCACTGGAATGAGAGGCATTTTCCACAGGGCCGGCGAATGCCAGGAAAGAATGGCACACACCACGAAGAAGCGCATCTTAATCCCCTTCCTCCAAGAACACTCCTAGCCCAGGGGAGGGTTCTACCAAACATCCAAGGAGGCTAACATAACCCTAATTTCAGAACCTGAACAGGGTATTCCATGAGAAGAATATTATAAACCAACATAACTTATAAACACAGACAGGATATATGTGTATATATATATATATATATATATATATATATATATATATGGTAACACAAATGATAGGAATAGGAATAGATTTGAGAATGCAAGCAATTTAAAAAGCAATGTATTTTACCACATTAAGAAACTAAAGGAAAGAAAACCACGTGCTCATTTCAAAAGCTACAGAAAAGGCCTGTGATAAAATTCAACACTGTCTGTGATGTGGGAGAAAAAACCCCAAACTCGTCAAGGCCTCCAGGAAGCCTGGGCAGAAGGAAAGCTGTCCCCAGGGCCACGGATGAAGGCGAGAAAGCCTACAGGCACACCCCAGGAAAAACAGAAACAAAAGGCCTGACAGGCACTTCACAAAAGAAAATATCCAAATGACAATGAACATTCAAAAGGTGTTTCTCATCAGGAAAAAGCAAATTACAGCCACCAGGAGACGCATGCCAGAACTTCCCCCAGGAAGGCTGGGAGAAGACAGGCTCCACCCCAGCAAGCAGCCAGCGAGGCTTCACAGGAGAGCTGCAAGTGAGTTTCCCATGACGTGGACTGAAAGGAGTGTGTGTGTTTACAAACAAGTACAAGGACATTCAAGGCAGTTTTATTCGTTATACAAAAAATGACACAACTAAACTGCCTGTCCAAAGGCAAATAAACAATTCTAGAATACAAATGAAGTACCGCAGGGCATGTGCACACCCTGAACGCAGGAGGTGCACGCCATAAACAAGGGGTGCACGGCATGAACACGGGGTACTCACCATAAACACGAGGTGAGCGCCATGAACAGGCGGTGTATGCCGTGAACAACACAGAGACCAAGCTGGGAACGTGTGTACCCCAAATATAAGGCCTCCTCTGGAATCAGACTGGACTCAATCCCTGCCACCGAGGAAAGGAAAGTACTAACAATCTTAACGTGACGTGACTGCATAGGTGAAACATGCAAAGGAATACACAAGTCAACTACTCAAGTTCGTGAGTGGATGAGAAAACGTGCTGGATACAGAAAGTGAATGAACAATCAGGACATGGCACCAAGAAAGACAACGCACTGTGCAGGGAAAGCAACCACGGGCAACCGGAGAGGCAGATGCTGTCTACACGGACAACCACAAAACATGGCTGAGAAAACAGGAAGCAGACATGAAGAGCACAGGGAGGAAAGGCACAACACTGGTGTGGCAGCTCCCCAGAGGGAGTGCCACTGTTGTATTAGAGCGAGCATAGAGTCAACACTAAGACAAAAGTATGTCAAACTGCAGGGTCTTTATTGCCGGCGGCCATGGAGGAGTCACGTCTCTCCAACCCATGGCCCCAAAAGGAGGGTGTCAAGACTTTTTATGTCCGTAAACTACCTTCTGGGCAGGGGTGGGGGCGAGGGGCTTTGGACATTCTGTAAAGCAGCTCCTGGGCAGGGGTGAGGGTGAGGGGCTTCAGACATTCCGATGGTTACTTAAGTGGTTCACAGAAGTCAAGACAAGCATTAGTTTACAGGTTGCCTGGGTAGAGCGGAAATTACAGACTTTAGTTACTTATTACAAGTTGCAGGGGCCAAGACGGCGTGGGTTTGGACTGCTTGCCTGTCACATCAGGGTAACAGAGAGCAGTTTCAACAGAAAGCTGAGGCATGGTTGAGGTATGCAGCTTTACGGGGCTTTTACCATGTCACATTCCTCCCTTGTTTTATTTATAGGAATTAAATGATTAATTTCTCTAGTAGGTCAGTATTGTTTGTTTGTTTCAAGGGGCGTTTGCTATAGGAATTTATAGCACGGATTAGGATGTCGAGGGTGGTGACTGCGAAGAGTGCACAAGTTTTAGTTTTAGTGAATTAGGGGATGGAATGGTCGATGCTTTATTGTTTCTTCGGAGGGGCAGTCTCGACGTGGGTGTGATGAATTTAGGCTGTTAATCTGTCTACCTCGAGTGCAGTGGGTGTGGTCAGGATAGCCCTGTAGGGTCCCTTTCAATGGGGGGCGAGGCCGGAGATGGCGTTATCTTTTAAGGAGGACAGTCTCCCAGCTGGAAGGGGTGTGTCGGCTGGTCTGCAAGGTCTATTGGGGTGGGACGGGTATCCTTAATGAGCTGATGTCCTTGGGATTGAACAGACTGGAGGGCCTGTAAGGACTTAAGGAGTGTACAGTTATGGACCTTAGCATGTACGGTCTCTGTGGGTCTGGGGAGTAAGGGAGCCGGCCTGCCTGCTGAACATGATTTTAAAACGGGAGACATTTTTTTGATAGTGTGTGCATCGGACGCGGAGGAGGACAAAAGGAAGCAGGCTGACTTAGCTTTTATCGGTTTTTAGGGTAAATTTTGTCAGGGGTTTTTAAGGGTCTGGTTTATTTGTTTGACCTGTTCTGAATTCTGGGGACGACAGGTATAGTGTAATTTTTAGGATATAACCACCAGGGCCTTAGCTAGGCCCTGAGAAATTTGTATAGTAAAGGCGGGCCTAATATCTGACTTTAGTGTTAGAGGGAGGTTGAACCAAGGAACAAGGTCTTGTAATAGTTTTTTTTTTGTGACCATCAAAGTAGTTTCGGACTTAGTGGGGAAGGCCTTGACTCATTTAGAGAATATATTATACATTCAAGGAGGTATTTATAGTTATTTACTGGGGGTTTTATTTTAGTGAAATTTACTTCTTAGTGTTTCTCAGGGCTAGTTTTTTTGAGTCTTAGTTTTACTTGGCTAGACTTTTTTTATTTACTTGGG